ACAAAACCCTTACTCAAGATTGGTTTTCAACATGTGTCCACTCACCTTAGGGCAGGAAAAAAGCAGACATTAACTCTTTCTTTCAAAGATCGGATTTATCAGGAAGCAACACGTGTGTCCATGCAAGTGAACGACATGATCATCATATTATCTTCTCCTTTTTTATTTATTTAGGGGACTCCTAGAATAGATTGATTGACAGGACATTCCTGCAGTGGTAAGTAGGTGTGGCTGTCGGTCAGCCATATTGGATTCAGCGGAGGTTTTCTTTTGTTATTACAATTTACACCACAAAAAGCATTGTATTTAGGGGGAAATAACTTCTATTCCGCTGTCCACTGTAGCGGCCACTATGGTTAATACAGGACTTAGATTTGTCAAAATGACTCATGGGCATCTATATTAACATTGACTGCAGCGCAGTCTGCTGGTGTTAACTAAAATGTTTCCAGTGATCTTTTTTTAAATCCCATTATGTTTATTGTTCCCACTATAATACTTTTATCTTAATGTTAAGTTCCAGAACCTATCACGCCACAAATGTAACTGTAATTTATTCACTGTGGGGTATTAAGTCAAATGAGCTTTGCATTATTAACTGAGGGCCTCTGAATTGCACCGAAAGCTTTTTGAATTTACAGCTGTTTTCATATTTCTGATCACTTCCGCAAACATATAACTGCAGTATTTGCTAATGATTGGAGAGAACATGCCACACACCACACCCCAGGCGCCAAGAAATGATCATTCATGCATTTTTTTATGGGGGAAATTCATGCGGACTTTCACCAAATTCAAATAGTTTAGCTGTGGAATCACTTTTTATTTTAATGATTGCTGGGAAAAGCCGAGCGTAGCTTTTATTTGTTTTAAGTTTGGTCCTTCATCATGATTTATTTATACATCGAAACAAATAGGAGCACCATGAACCAGAACTGATTAAACACAAAGTCTAGGAAACAACTCACTCCGACCAGGACTGAACAAGAAATGACAGGAGAAACAGGAGGTGGTTAACTTTCAGGGTCTGACGTGGACCGAAAGAAACATAGGAGGAAGTATACTGTGAGAGAACCGTATAATGAATGATACCAGAAAGGGATAAAAGACAGGTGAGGCAGAGGAGCTAATGACCGGAGCAGCAGGGAACTGAGGAAAACCATGGGTGATAAAATGGAGGGAGAAAGACAGAAGAAGACAAACCACGACTGTAACCATAAAGAAATAAGACCAGGCTTTCTGTGTTTCTTTGTTTTTGGTCCTAAAATCTTTTGTTAGAATTGAGCAGTTTTGTTATTCACACGTCTTTGTCTTACTGTTCATATCTGTTCCTTCGCTGCTCTTTGTTCCTGTTCTTAGTTGGAGTTTTGTTGAAACTGATTTTTCGTTTGGGTTGGCCTAGTTGTTAGATATTGAATGGTTGCAATCATACTTTGTCTTTTAGCCAGTTTGGTCCTGTTTTGCCCTCGGTTCGGTTTTCGTGGGCTCACATTCTCACCCATAGTTTCTTCATCAGCTCCACTCCTTTTCTCTGTGTCTACTACCTTCACCTGCCAGCACTCACCAATTCACCCCCCTCAGCATTTAAGCCCCATCAGTCATTTTCAGTGGACTCACCTCTTAAGTTCAGGTTCTGCCTCAGGGGGTTGTTTCATGTTGTAGTGGGAGTCGGTTTTTTTGTTGGATAGTGTTTGAGTTCAGCGGGCCTAAAATAAATATCAGTTTAATTTTCCCTCCTGTCTCCTCCCTGTTCTCGGTCTGCACTTGGAGCTTCACCATCTCTCACCCACGCTGACACGCGGACTATGACATATACATTCTCATTTTCCACAAGGGTTTGGATGCTGTCCGCGAACACCTGGGAATAATTTAAACCCCGTGTTTTATGGAGAGCCGCGGCGAGACAGCACATCAAATGTAATATAGTGTGTGATTGCTCAATTTGACTTTAATGCCATCAGCCCATTTTCAAAAATAAGTCTTAGAACTACTTCGGTTTTAGCAGGCAAAGTTCATCGAGTTTAAAAGGACCAGATTCTGTGCTGGGTTGATGCTGGATTTCAGCTGCTCAACAGTTTGATGGCTCCAATGTAAAATTTTAGCTATGTTCCACAATTCTACAGCTCAGTTTCCTCTGGGTAACACGGACTGTAGGCAGATGCAGGGCGCACATTCAGGAAGGCAGCAGTTCTGGGATTAGTTTATCCTGCACACGTTGTTTTTCCTTTGCAGCATAAAGGTCTAACTTAAACTCGTGGATGCAGTGATAAACTGTGATAAAGGCACTGAGAGCGTCCCCGTCTCCAAACAAGCGATTCTCATCTCTGACCTTGACGCAGTGCACTTTGAAGCCCGGGACATTGTGGACTCTTACCGACGTCTTTTAGCCTAGTCACATGAGATTTCTCAGCAGTCTCTGAATATTTTCGAGGATAAAATGATTTTTTTTAAAAACGTTGCCCTATTATGTTGCGGAACACCAAGTATTAAAAGTAATCATTGAAGAGTTTGTCTTAATACAAGCTACTTCCTTATTCCCAAAAGGCTACACATTGCCAGAGTAACCTTGTTTGTGGAGTTCTTTGGTTCCACCTTTTCTAACTTTTATGATTTGTGTCGGTGTCATCCAAAGTGGAAATATCTAATAACTTTGAAAACCAAGAATTTTAATTATTTTGATCTCCATAAAAATATCTTTGAATTCAAACGTGTCTTTTGAGGAGGGGATATAGTTATGGTTACTTCATAGTTACTTCACTATGCTTCAGGTTTTGTTTTTTAAAGAGGCCTTTGGGTTTCTATAAACACTGTTCTTTAATTTCAGATGATAGAGCCTGCTGGTTGCTCTAAATGAATAATGCATTTCATCACATCCTGTAATGTGAAGACATTTAATCTTGCGGTGTGCATTGTCCAGAGCAGGGCAGAAGCCTAATTGCACGGTACCAGCTATGAGGAGACCTAACTAATCCCTTATGTGCCTCTGTAACAGATGTGTCCAATTAATGGCCCCTCTTTGATTGGATTTCATATGCATTCATCTCTGGGAATTTTGTTTGCGGAATAAAGGACCGTTTCTGATAAAGAAGACTTTAAACCCGGCCTTAATCACGGCTCATTTCTATTCAGTCATACTAAGATCCAATTTTGAATAATTGCTGGGGTATGAACTGATTTAAATCCAGTTAATGACCAGGGCACAGCAGACGGGGATGGCAGCGAGCAGCCCCGCTCACTCATCGCCGCAGTGCTGGGTGAAACAAGACATCATGTAAAACAAAGGAAATGAGGGCTGAAATACCTGCAACAGAGGCTTGCATTCATGAAGGGTAGTGGATAGGAGATGAAACAAATCCCACAATAAATGACCACTTGCATGCATCGGGCACAAGTCCTGCTTCCCATGATTGAAAGAGCTCAGCTTAAGGGAACCCTTACAGCATAAAGGGACCGGGAGAGGGGTTTATGTTCGGCCAGAAGATCTTGATAGATCTGTGCCACGGCTCCCCGGCTGCTCTGAGAGAAGCCTGTCGCCGAGCATGTACATGCGTTTAGGCTTATTTACCTCGATCCTGCTGGCTGCCCGACGGGCACGTCTCACTGCTGGAGATGCAGCGTTGTTGTCTGGCAACCCGCTTGATCAAAGCGCTCTGCAGCGCGGCTGGCACATTGCAGAGGGCGACACAGATAAAACGCAAAAGGATAATCGGAGAGAACAGAAGCATGACACCTGCATCCGCTCGCCACAGCCTGCCGGGGCGCGTCCATAACTTGAACTTTAAATTATTAATCTCCATTTGATCTGCTGGTCGATGAGCTACACCACTCTGCATTCATTACTTCTCAATACTCAAATGTAAGAAGAGGAAAAGAAAAGATCTGAAATAACTCAGATGACCTTTAAGAGTCTAAACTCTTCCAGTGAATTGCAATCAAAGCCACTTCACTATTGCTTCTGGCCTTTCTGAGGAGTACAAAATCCAGATGCAACTATGAACTCTCAGTTCTCTCCCTTCTATCTCGCTTATATTGTTGTGCCTCTAGCTACTGGAGATGAAGCCCCAGCACATAACTTCACATCCTCTTGACAGCCCATTAAATATTCACCACATTCTTTCACTCAAACAGATTCATTCAAGAAAATTCAAAACAGAGGGAAAAAAGTATAAGTCTGCACTACATTTGTTCAGGTTTGTCGCATTCAAAGGCAGCTCTTTCTCCAAAAGACGGCACCGCGGTCAATCACTCCCCCTCGGTGTCATTTGACAATTTGAGAGAGGATCTTATTCCTCTGCGAGTATGTAAATGCAAAACACCATCAATATGAAGATCTTCCTCTATAAAAAGGTACCGAATGAGCAACGTACAGAGCACAGATTGGCATTTATTTGAAACATGAACACACGGTACCAAGAGAAATACAAAAAAAAGCACTTTCAAATCAAAGCACATTTTAAACACCCCCCCAAAAAAGATAGAAGAATTAAGGAAACAGTCAAGTCCACTTGATTTTCTGTATGTTTTCATATTGTTTTTTTTGTTTTTTATCTCAACTTGATCGTCCTACACAGCAATTCTTCATCCATCGCTCTGAGACAGATGGCCTGGTCTGCACTTTGGTGGTCAGGATTTGTCAGATGGCACCACATGTTGAGTCATTGAGGTTTTCACCTCCAAAGACAGCTGTGTGTGTACTTTACATTCTGTTGTTTTGTTGATCTCCGGTTTTTTCGATACATTGCTTATTAAAATACAGAGGCTATAAAAAATATTTTAGCCCAACATACCCCCTTGATTTAGCATACACTTGTAAATAATTTAATACATAGATAAATAGATATTCTGTGTGTAGATTATAAACTTTCATAAAAGCCTTTTTCAGTCATACGGGAGTGACTACAGTATAAATGCTGAAATGCTGTAGGGCTGCTTTCCGACCCTGACGTCCAGAGACCATGTGAAAGGCTGAGAGTGTACATGCAGATTGCTGTTTCCAGTCCTTAGCTCTGCTGGCACTCGTTTTTGCTGCAGGTGGCCTGGCGCTCAATCTGCCACGTTCCCTCCTCGTATGTGCAGTAGCAGATTGTGCACTCATCAATCTTCACTTCTCGGCCGGCTGGGATCACCTCCGTGTCCGCGTAGCAGTTTGGCCCTGTAGGTGGTACAAGAAACAACATTGAAAGTGGGCCTGTGCGGAAAATGGGCTGTGCATTGTGTTCGAAAATGGAATTCCAAATTGACCCTATGCATTTTTTATTCGTTTTCTTTTGTGTTGTTGGCGCCGTGTCACATTATCGAGGTCGCGCGCTAACTCAGAACACTGAAAACGCCTGAACTGTCTGCCCTGGAAAATATGCTTCCATCAAATTAAATGAAATCTTCTAATCAAAAGGTACAGAGGCCAAAAGAGAAATCTCCCTGATAGTCAGCGCTTTAAAATTGGTGAAAAATGTGTGGGGTTTTTTTCTACTCCAAAGAAAGGATGTAATTCAATGCCCAATAATGGCAATGTTGTGGACAGATCACACAAATCAAAGTCACCTGCCTTTGTGGCGCCACAATAACGCGGGCCAATGACGGAAGGTTATTCAAATTAGAGGATGCAAGCTGGAAATAATAATAAAAAATAATAACAATCACTCGCTCCCACTGTGAAACCTGTCACTAACAAGATGAATTGAATTGAAACCAGGCTCATCACAATGTTCACAATCCCCTCTTTCAACTGGTTAAAGAGCTCTGCTGGGTTCATATCCTCTGCATGAAAGTTTTGTAGCCAAAGGTTAGACTGTTGACCTACATTATATGACAGTTAGCTCAAGCAATTACAGTTGTAGAGAGTCATCAATCTTTTTCTTACACTCCACTTGTGCTTTAAGACAGTCTGAAAGAGATTTTCTCCGGAGCTCAGAAAGGAAGCTCTCTTCCTTCGCGTCTGCTTTTATTCCCAAGCGGCCGGGTTTTTCCTCTACTTCTGTTCTTCACTTCTGTTTCCCCCCTTTTCAAAATTCGATAATATTATTCTGGTCCAATTGACTCCCTGCTTACTCTTCCTTGACTCGATCGATACGTTCCCTGTCTTTTTAAAGCTTGTTTCAGCTGTTCCACCTCTGGCATGATTCTGACTGATCGCCTGCCCACTACCACAATCTACAATCTTGGGGGTCCTGTCAGTTCCCTCTCCTGCAACATGTTATGACCCACCTTGGCTTTCTTTGTACATTAATACTTGTTTTTGTCCAACTATTTTATCAAATTACTCACTGAAACGTAGCCTCTGTCTCTTTTTTTCTCTTCGTGGATTAATTAATATCCAAATAGCCCCTGATTTTGTATTTGCTAATATCAAATAAAACTTGATCCCTATCACCAGAGGCCTTTCTGTTGGTAAGTGGGTTCTCTACGGGTACCCACCTTTTAACTACAGCTGGGATAGGCTCCAGCCCACCCGCAACCCTTCTAGATAAAAAAAACTAAATGGCACAGCAAATGGCTGAATGGCTCATAGAAATGCTCAATTTAGATGAGTATTTATTTGTGACTAATTGTGTCAACTGCTCATTTTTTATTTTGTCGCATGTCATGGAGCAGGCTACAGCAAATTATTTAAAAGAAACAACATGAATAGAATTGTCCATGAAAACAAAGAACAAAAGGAAATGCTCCTGACACCAAAGCCTCCCGACAACGTAAGATCTCCTAACAACAGGAGACATGCGAGTTTAAAAGTAGGACAAGATTTCAGATGTTGTTTTACCACTGCTTTCAGATGGCAGATCTATTGCAAAGACATGTCCATATGGAGTTCAGCAAAGTTGGTCCCAGTAAACACGAATGCAGTCAAAGAGGAGAGTAAACACTGGAGACTATGTATTTTCCCTCTCATTTTATTCATCTCAGTGGAAAATGGGCTTTCACATCAGGGTTGTCATCGATTGTTTCCTAAAATAGAGTGCTGGTTAGGGGAGAGTAAGTGGCACAGGGGAAGAAAATGGAATATACAAGCACAAAAAAACACATGTTTCCTACTCTTACTGTACATTTTTGGTCTCACTAAATCTAGATAATGTAACTGTTTGCTGTGTGATTACAGATGTAATTTCTTGGTTTCTTACAATCCTATTGAGCCATTAATCATCAGTCGAGTATGCAGCTACTCAAAAAGATAAATAATTCCAGTGGCCATCATTATCATACTCCCCTGACCGCTAAGTGACCATTCATGGTTGAAGCAGAGGGGCATTTTTTCACTCTGAAAGTCAGAGCTCATTCATCTGGGGTTTGGAGTGATCACACACATGATTCTTAGGAACCTGTTTATCTCTTTTGGTGTCTTATTCAGGGATTAATTTAACTAAAGTTCTTCTTCTCTTCAGTCTTGATGTTTGCGATAATTTTCAGCTGGCACACAAGAGGCATTCAATTAAAATTTATTCCGGTTCCTTAGATCAGCTTCCCTAACGGTAAACCGCACAATCTTGCCGAAGGATGCTTCCCTCCTTCCACAACCTTAAGGTTGGAGTGCACAGAGTGGGAGCTGCGCATGTAAAAAAACAAAACAAATTAAACTGTGGAACGCAGTGTTTTAATAAAGTTTTGAAGCGCACCCCGAGGGACGGTTTCTCAGCTGTTTAGCAGGAAATTGGCTCCCACAAATGAAAGTTCTGAAGTTAGGTTATGGTTGTTAGGAGCTGAGCTTTGGAAGTGGCCTGGAGACATTTGAAACAATAGAATTACCAAAAGATCCCAGCTGACTGTGGCACTTCCTCTGAAGTCATGGGAAAAGAAAAGAATAATATCTCTAAATTGCATATCAGGGCATGATGAAAACATCACTTTGTTCTAATCAGCTTTTTTTTAAAATGTGTAAATACAACTTCCAGTCAGTAAAAAATTAAGTTTTCTTTTTTCTAAAACACAATTTGTGAAAGGAACAGTTAGGTGCTGCCTTTTAAATTGATTTGATTGACTGACATGCAACAAGTGTGACTACCTCAACAGAAGCATATGTTTTGCTGATTGGGAGCATTCAGATGTGTATAAACATAATAGCAGTTGTCAAATTTACTCAAAGGTCAGATGTGTAAAATAATCACAACAAATGGAAAAGAAAATCCAAGAGCTACATCTAAAAGTCTGTTGCCTTGCTGGTCAAGTTCATTCAAGTGTGGTTAAAGTCTCCTCAAGCCTCCTCTCTCTAAATATAACATGGAGGGTGAGCGCAGGGCGCCAAAAGCTGGGTCAATGCAAATCACGAAAATACTGACCAGACAAAGGTTTTATTGATTCATCATAATGGCCGGAAAACCGAAGAAAACACATTAGCACAAATGCATAATGCCAAATGTTGAACTCGGTGGTGAAGCGCTGATAATGTGGGTTTGCTTTAAAGCTATATGAGCAGGACCTGCTCGCAGTGGACTCCCTCTGAAGTCCAATATGTTAAAACATGGCTAATATCGTGAAGTAAAACAGACCAAGGTCAAAAAGCCGCAGCTAATCCAAAACAAAATGGCCGAAAAATGAGCTGAGCGAAAACAAATTTGAAACTGAGGAAATTAAATTAAATGAAAATAGAGAAAACGCTTTATTTGTATTAGTGAGCTTGTATTTCCCCACTTTAAAGAATAAATGGCAAATACAGTTTTCTCTTTTTATCTCTATTTGGGCAAGGACATGGGACCCACTTTTTTACACCAGGTTACAGGCACGTAAAAGAAAAGAAAAAAAGAGAGAAATTCTAATTTAAACACAAACAATCTGCATATGTGATGAGGGCATTTGTGTTCCTCCTGTCCTCGCCCGGTGGCTGGAGGGGCGAGAGGAAAAAGAAAGTGCTCATAAATCATTAGTTTTCACTCAGGCCACACGGCGATATATAAACAGCGCGGGAATTGCTTCCACATTATCAGGTGCAGCATAACAATGGTTATTTCACATTGGCTAACAAGGTCTTGAGCAACTCAGTTGTATAATTAAGACGCTGATAAATGGGGACTATCTCAGCTGCAGCCGCTGCATTTCATTGGACGGCAGAACCCAGAAGGAGCGCTCGGGCACATCAATCAATGTGAACAGTTTGCCGGGGGCCGTCAAGATGTCAACCCTAACACATTTATAAGTCCTCAGATGAACATGCACGCGCCCTATCTGAATAACAACTCGTCCTGTGGCCCAGGCTGCTGTCGCTACTGATTCATCATCATTAGCAGCATTTAGAACACAACGTCTTGAATGAAGGAATCGAAATGAAAGGCAGGGATATTCTCGGAGGGGGGGATATTCCCCCCGAAAAATGATCCTCTGATTCGACACACGAACGCAAAAAACATTCCCTTCTGGAGGAGAGATTAAAGCAGCCTGTCATCCAATCAGTTGCGTGACACTTATTTGTGCTAATTAATGCATGGGTTTTGGTGCCGCCATTCACCCCGCACCCATCTTTTTGTCTGTTGTTCCATTGATACGGCACACATCTCTGCGTTACTCTGTGTTTGTCTGCCTCTCGTGCTCTGATGCAGAAAGATCTCTGTGGGTGCGTGAGGCTTTTCGATAGCGCCCTCAGGGGCAGAGACAAATGGACTGTGCGTGTGCGTGAACAGTTGGACCCAAACTGTCACTGCCGCATGTTACAAGTTGGCCCGGGAAGCGTGTGAAAGACATGGCCATTAGCACCTGTGGCTTTGGACTCTGTGGCAGCGTCAGATAACAGACAGGGAAAATGAGGACACATACTGATCATCACAGCCCCTAATTCTGACATGTCACATCCCACGGAGCCGCATTAACAGATAACAGAAGCAAAAGGCACTCATCTTAATGCATTTGTTGTGTCCATCTGCATTGTAAATGCATGATGAAAGTGAACTGGCTCTGCAAAGAGATAAAATGGGTGAACTTTCGAGGGCTGAACGACAAAATGAATAATTTCTCTTAGGGACACTCGGTGAGACAGGGCCCGACCTTTAAATATGAACTGCCTCGCATCAACGCTTCAGATGGTAAGGTTTTATAGAGGTGCTATCTCACAGGAGTGTTTGTTTGTATACGTTATTATCTGCTGTGCCCAGTTTAAATCTAACAGCACTCTGTGACTGCATGCAAGTAATGAGACTGCCATATCCAACACTCTTTATAGATTTGAGTGCCAAA